TAGCATTAGTCTGTAGTATTATCATATTTTCATCATCTATACATGAAAGAGAGAAACAGACACTTGTACAACCAGACACTTAATTTGTCTTACATGGTGCAATGTTTTTGAATCTGTTGAAAGGTTTATTTTGATCACTAAAACCAACAGTGCTACGCAAATCGTCTCCTGTGTATAAACCCTACAAAAACAGAAAGCATTTGGTTAGGGATGACTATGTTTAGTCAATGGAAATGTTATGATAAACTTAAAGATAAAGGGACAACATGAGACATAGAGCAACAAAAATAAGGCACAAAGTTCATCTACACAGTCAATACAATGAATGAGCTCATACATTATACAGGGTTCTATTCAGTGGGGGGGTGGGGGGGAAGCTTCTCCCCCAAACTCTTCATCTTCCCCCCCAAAACATCAAGCTTCCCCCCAGTGTACTTCTGTAACTGCATGCATGTACTGTACATGTACATACACAACCTTCCCCCCGCCCGGTCAACTGCTCTGGGCTTCCTCCCCAAACAAAAATTTCTAGATAGAACCCTGTTATATATACAATAACAACCTGGTATTGCTGATTGAAAGCTGCATTAGTATCACTATGATAGCTGGCAACATGAGTACCAAGATCACTAATAGATACAGGACATGTCTTGGGAATGAGAGGATCAAAGGCTGGAGTAGCTCCTGTCCCTCCATTAGTATTTTTAACTTCAACATTGGCATACAGTGCATCCTGCTTCACTGCATCATTAATGGTTGTGTATAGATCAGTAGACTCTGTTGCTCCCATAGTCATTGCTTCATATTCTAGAGAAAGAAAAGAGAGATCCAGAGAGAAGAGAAAGAGGAGTGGAAAGATAAAGAGGAGAGTGAAAGAAAAGAGGAAGAAAGAGTGATTAGTGAAGTCAATAGGAAAACAAAAAATTATGCATAGACAAAATATATTAAACTATAAAACATGATAAAATAAACAAAAATACAAAACACAAAAAGGAAGACAGATGTTTGTGTTTGCATCCTGTGTAACTATTAAATAGAAAAATATGCTTGGCTATTGCCCAACTTGATTTCTCCCTACCCTACAACTTAACGCATACACAATGACTCCTCAACACATTAAATTAGACTGTGAAACCAAGTAGTGTTAAGGAGTGGCATATAATATTTTATAGAGAATATCACTGCACCCACACACATACACTGACCACCAAACAAAACAGGATTAGCTTACTAGGGGTAAGATGAGGATACACAAGTATAGCAATACTGGATTTAGTGGTTGATAAGATTAATCTAAAGTTTATAGCAATGCTGTGTAACATTGCCTTTAGTAACAGCAGGTCATCATAATTGAAGCAAGACAAACAGGCACTAATCACATTAGTGATATCATTTCCCTATGTAAGCATTCCTTTACTCACTCTCTCTCTCTCCTCTCTCTTTCTCTCCCTCTCTCTCTCAGTATCCTCTCTCTCCCTCACTTTCTCTTCCTCACTCTCTCTCCCTCATTCTCACTCTCTTTCTAAGTTTCTCCCCCTCTCTCCCTCACTTTCTCTCCTCTTTCCCTCTTCCTCCTATGTGTAAAAATATACTCTGTCTCCTCCTTATGTTTGTATAGAAGCACTATAATTAACTCACCCACCTACTGTACTATGGAATTATAGCCAGCATATCAAATTACAAGGCACTACTACGTACACTATACTACTACAATCAATGTAGATAATCAATTCCTATAGTACATAGTACAGACATTTGGTATATCCCTAATGATACCATATCCTTGCAGTAGTGTGTGACCACTATTACTACTAATTGATCATGTGTACATACCATAAGGGCAGTGAAGCCACTGAAAAGTCAATGGCCCTTAAAATGTTATTAAAATATTGACACAGAGTAGTAGTAGTAGTAGTAGTAGTAGTAGTGGTACATATATGTGTATGTGTGTATGCATTTCCTGATTCAATAGTATTATTTATTACCTGGCTCCCTAATAGGTTGTTTTTGTGTTAATAATGGATAACTTTTTGATTCTTTTCTGTCACCAGTTAAAGTTTCCTTAGTACTTCCCTTACGTCTGAATAATGAGAGAGAGAGACAGAGACAGAGACAGAGAGACAGAGACAGAGAGACAGAGAGAGAGACAGAGAGGTGAGAGAGTGACATACAGAATATGTTCAATACCTTAGCACTAGCAGTACTAGCACCACAATGACTATTATTACTATTATAAGTAGTATAGCTCCTATTGCTCCACCAGCTGCAGCCCCAACTACAAAAAAAAATTTAAATAAAGCAACAAATACAGAAACTGTATATGAAAAAGAATGATTTTAGGTTCAGACCTATAGAGGAAGAAGATCCAGTAGTTGGTGGAGGGGAGGCAACAATAGTTGGTGGAGGGGAGGTGACAGTAGTTGGAGTTGGTGGTAGCTCTAGTGTCTCATTAGCAATAACTGTCCATTCTCCATATCCATTATCAGTGTATGCACGTACACCAAAAATATAACAAGACATAGCATTAAGATCAGTAATTCTACTAGTAAATGTATTGCCATTGGTTGAATTAATAAATTGTAGTCTTTGATTATCAATGTCATCATCATCTACCACTGAACAGTTACCAGACTCTAAGATATGATATCCTATCTCATATGTGATAATGGGATAGTCTGATGGAATATAACTAGGTACACTCCATGAGATAACAGCCAATGTAGTGTCCATGATACTGGATACTGAACCAACTGGACCAGGTACTAAATAAACACACATTCTCTCAGAACTGATATAGTATAATAATTACATACCTATTCCAATCTTTACTTCAATAGGATCACTGAAGGGACCTCTTCCAACAGAATTGACAGCAGCTACACTGATGTTATACTCACTACCAAATACTAGATCATTCAATATGATATATCTCTCAGTACTGGTGAGGTTGTATGTGATACTACTGTTACTGATAATCACTGTATAGCCTGTGATCAGACCATTACGCTCAGAACAATTGACCTCATTCCAAGTGAGATTATTAGCCGTTGAATTAACTGGTAAAACTTGAATTGATGAAGGCCAACCACTAGGAACTTTAAAAAAAATTAATTAACTGTTAAGAAAATAAATTCTATTACTTATTGCCTCAGTTTGTACTGTGTTTGTGTTTAACTCAGATCCTCCTAGTACATTACCAGCTCTCACTATGATGGTATAGTTCATACCACTGTACAGACCTATTAATGTATAACTGTATGTTGTAGTGGACTGATGAGGATCAACAGAGACTGTCTCATTCACTGATGATAACTGGGGACAAGATGAAGTATAGGAGATAGTGTAGTATGTTACATAGTTGTCACTACTGGGAATAGTCCAGTTCAATGTAATACCAGTCGTTGAGACAT